CTCCTGCAGTGCAACTGCCAGAATCTGCCCCAGCCGTGGACCATTAGAGCCGCAGAGTCTTTATAAATCTGAAGCAGTCATTTTGTGCCTCATTCACAAGTGTTCAAATGTCTCCGTCACCAACTGTTCCACACTTAAAGCCTAAAAGGCAGAAATAAAAGTGTATAACTTAGGATTCTTTTCCCCATTCACATATTCATTGTACACTGTTGCAACACATGAGCCAATTACAGCATGAGGCACGAGTGTCTAAAACTATAAAAAAGAAAGAAAGATTTATCTGCAGGAAATCACAGAGCACAGAAGTTAAAGTTTGTTTACGTGTGCTAGAGGATAGGCAATGTCTGCATGCCCCAATTTGAAATTTAGAAAGGATGAGTTTTTATAGGCATTCTGTCTAGACAGAAATAGGTCACTGGCAGCTCTGCGTACTAGATAGGCGAATATGTAATGTGAGATATGAAACAAATTCACAGACTCAATATAATGTCAGCATAACACTGATACTACCAGAATGTCTGCAGAAATATGGAAATATTTTCACCAAAAATATATTAAAGTTTCTGCAGTATTGATTTTCTACCATTGTTAATGTGTTAACTGTTTCTTTCTGTGTCTGGGTCAAATGGCACCAATTCAGCTGAACCATGTGTTGTGTCAGTAGGTTAACTGTGTGTCCCTATGTGTTGCACCCACTGATATCTATCACACCTGCCAATCAGAGGCACATTAATCAACAATGGTGTCAAGCGGCATGGGGCAGAGAAAGTGCTCGGCCCTCCCTTCATCCATCACTCTGGCTGTAAACCGTCATTCAGCATCAGACGTGTTTATTTTTTTCACCACACATACAGATTGGTCAGAAAGAATCTGCACAGATTGATTAGTTCAGTTTGTCTCCATCATGGCCGGTGAAACCAAGCTGGACACCTTCTCTGTCTCACTCTCTCTGTCTCTCTGTCCGAGCCAGGTAAAGTGGAGAATTGGCTTCAGGTGATTTGGAGAAGATCTTATCTTCTGTTAACAGCGGAATGACACCATAATGGAGCAGCAGGGGTGCAATTACCTTTTAGCCCTGCTCCTCCTCCTCCTCCTTCCCTCCGCCTTCACCTCAGCCTTCACTGACAAATTAAGATTAATGACGGAGATAAGTAAGGAACCTGCCTGCCTTCCGATATCACACGGTCAGGTTGAGTGTGAGAGCACCTCACGAGTAGAGCGAGGTACAGCTTATCACTTGGTGTTATTCTCCTATACTTGTTCCCTCTAAATCCTCCCTTTCCCTCGGTTAATTTTAATGCGACATATGCGAAATCATTCCTGTACAATGTGCAGTGAAAAGCAGGGTTGCCGTCTTCATTGACTGAGCAAATAGATATACAACATACATACAATACAATAATCTTAGACACACAAAAGTGCATTAGACAGATAATCTGCAAAAAAAAAAAAAAATCATGTTCCTCTGCCTCCTCACAGTAGCACCCCCAGGGGTGGGCCATGGGGGCCACAGCCCCCAGATTCAATTGTTGGCCCCACTACTGGCACCCCCTGGTGAAAATAATCGGAAGGTGACATTACTGTCTTTGAGAGCCTGTGGCACACTCATTTTATAAACTAGCAAAGGCAGTGGTGTCGTGTGCAGCTAGACAATCTAAAGGCCCTGACACACCAAGCCGATGGTTGGCAGTTAGTCAAAGTCTGGCTGTCGGTGAGTGTCTGTCGCCCTAGTTTTTGCGGTGTGTCCCGCACCATCGGGACTTACCCCACTCAGAGAAAAAGAAAAGTGTTGTGGAGCGTTGTTCCTGTGGGCTCCAGCAACATTAAACCCCTGAGCTTGCCTTAGAAGGACTAAATGCACAAACCCACTATGACAGAGAGACTCTCACTGCAGCCTGTTTTATTTTGTTCTGAAAATGTCGGTTTGCAGAGTCGTTCTGTGGACGATAATTGAGGTGCAGACTGAGGAAATACTGTACAGTGAGTGCTGGACGGAGCAGTGAGTGACAACAACCCTGCCCACATTTAAGAGCACTGTTTGCAGTGGAAACTCTAGGGTCTAGGTACCATGTCTGAAGGGTTACTGTTGGTTCCAAAGGTACCATACTGAAAGTGTTTGGTGGAAACGGGGCATACTAGTTACTAACTGTAGTTTTAAGTGTTAAGAATGTGAGGACCTAAAGTTACTAAAACCAAAAGACAATTGACATGGACAGTATAGAGGAGTAGGCTGAGTGTGATGTTTGTTTGCTGTTGCTAAGTGGTGATGTCAAGCAGCAGATCCATAAATGTTCATAATCTTATAGGAAAATGCAACAGGGATACACCTGGAGAGACACACCCACTGCCACTGTGGAGGGAATAGGTCACTTGAAGTAGTGATAAGGACGTAAAATAAAAATGCCATGGGGCAGGATTAGATTTTTCAGGTTGATAGTCTCAAGTATTTTCTCTGAGGAATGTTATGAATGTTTCTGTCTTGGCACCTGTGTGGTTTTATTTAATTATTCATTAGACTGGAAGTATAGGTAAGAAGCCATTCAAGGTGTTTGTCAAAGTGTGAAAACAAGTGTTCTAGTCCCTCTCTCCCCCTACACATATACACCTACCCATACCTCTTGGCTGTCGCATTGTTGTCAATGTGAAATCAACTCCCAGAGGCTGAGGAAGACCAGACCCCTTCCCCCAACCTGCAATGCCCCACCAGAGTGGACTCTACGTGGCTGAATGTGTGCCCCCCCTGCCCTGCAGCTGGAGGTGTCTGTTTCACAGGTCTCTGTAATGCGGGACCTCAGAGGATAAGGTTTCACAGGTACAAAAGTTTCCGCTTTAATCCTATCACACAGAGTGAGTGGTCAGGGCTCAGGGCTTCTGCATAATCCCGGGTTTATCTGTTCTGGTGAGCCAAGAGACATTGAGTATGCAGAGAGGAAGAGATTACTGCCCATCTCTGATTTTATTCAATCAATGTTTGCACAGCAAACGGCGAAAGGGATCTCTCAATAGCAATTCAGCGATTCCACACCTCAGTGCACACAGGAGAAGACAGGTAATAGATATAGTTAAATATCTCCTCCAGCAGCTGTTAAACAGGTTGATGTTCAGAACAGAGGGACCCTGCATCAATTTAAAATGCATTTCTGCATGTCTATTAGGAGACTTTTAATTTCTTATGATGCGTAAAACGAATGAGTGAAGATATATATTGTGTATTTGCCAACTGAGTGGAAAAAATTACTTTAGAAATCAAGTAAAGTCAAGTTTTAGTATTTTGTTCTTGCATGTCTTTTAGTTTGTTGACTGGCTGCTGTCTGTCAGAGGTCAGACTGGGTCAGTGGTGAATCTTAAAGGGTGAAAAATAAAATACAAGGGTCTCTAATGGCTGACAGATCTGTGCTGTGTTGTGAAAAGCTTATCAATTTCACAGCAGGTGATTCTGCTGTGAAACAGGCTTTGACGTGGCCTCCTCTGGAGAATACAACCTGCCCCGGCTTCACACTGAGTCCCGGTCACAGCTGAAGGGTTACATCGGGCTGCATCATCCTACATCATGAATATTTTGACAGGAGTAGTTTGGTGACAGGTGAGAGGGTAAATGTTGAAATTTAAACATTTATCAGTTTAATTCAATGCATTTATAGACTAAGAATCAAAGAAGTATTGGACTGGACTCACTGGAATAAGCAGTGAAGTTCTCCTCGTCGATGAAACTTTTGCACCTTAAGGCGTGGTGGATTTTCTTCCCTGCCTGAAATACTTTTGATTCATCGTAGAAAGCATGCATCCTAAGAAATTTAATACATATTCACACTTGCAACCACAGAGCAGATTGCTGCATCCTTCCACAGGTCCCTTGAAGTGTGAGACTTGAAGGAAGAGTGGTTCTTTTGAAGGCAGGTAGAAGGCGTTGCGGGGCTGAGAGGTGCTGGAAAGGGCATGTCCAAACAGACTTTAGGCCCTGAGTGATGGGACACGGGAAACGGTAAGAGGACACCTCGCCCCTGCTCTTATGTCAACACCGTCATGTGAATCACAGCTGTGAGAATGTCTGAAGATCCGGGAGACAATAGATGCCGACTCTTAGCGAGAGCCATCTCAGCTTCTACAGAATCGGCAAGCTTTGTTGTGATCACTGTGCACTGTATGTCAGCGTTGCTTGTTTGTTATTTAATATCCTTTGAAATGAATTAAACAGATATGTAATACTTTTTATCTCTCATCAAGGCTTTTCAAGTTGATCCCTCATGGAAGTTGATACAGTTAAGATGCAGTGCATCACTGGACTTTAAAGGGCTCCACTTAAGCACCGTTCCTATCATGAATTTATTGAGGTAAGTAAACAATCCATGTCAGTGATTCAGAGGGTGCTAGCCTGAAAAAAACAGAAATTCTAATCAGATAAAAAAAATATATCCACACATTAAGTCATCTGTAACACTTGAAAGCTGTGTTGTGATTGAGAGCATAAAGGGGGATTTAGACCTCTGCATTGAATTGACGCCATACCAGGTTCTGCATTGACGCAGACACTACACCATAACCTACGCCATAGCCAGAGGTGCACCTCCCTAGACAATTTGGTATGGGACCGCAGGTCTGTCCCAAGTCTGGGGTTTTCCAATAATGGGAATGCCTGTGAGAGTCCAAGTATGTGACTCCTGTGTCCTTCTTGCAGATTTTAACTTTGACTTTAACTTTGTCTTTCTTTAGTCAGACAATTTGACTTAGATCCCCCATGCTTAAAAAAAGACAAACCAAAGGAGTCATATTTTCTCTTTTACTCCTGCTCCAGGGGTAGGTGTTGAAGTTTTGCATTTACGTCAGCTCAGAGATAGAGGGCAGCAGAGATCAATTAATTCCTACATGCCTCTTCACACTGTCCTCCATCTACCTTACCTTCTATTTAAAGTTAAGCTTTGGGTTTTTCACAAAATACTCATCAACTACATACGTTTTGTGCTTGTGCTTGAATCTAGAACATTAAATGACAAGAATACAGATTAAAGTTGGCTGTAATTCCATCCTTTAAAAAAAAGAGCAACGTCATCACAGTTGTTTATTTACATTCACTTAATTTAGGCAAACTGTTGTTTCAGACTCATAACACAAAAAAAATGTCATTGGCTTTATGTATAGCTGTTGATTTCAGTCTGTAAAGAAAGTCTTGATGATCAATTTATTAATGTCACTGACTCCACTTCAGGCCACTAATACATCATTATCTCCTTGGGTGCGTCCTCTGTAGGCCTCTGCTGTTCTCTCCTCTGTGTGTAGGCTGCATGGTCGTACAAGTAGATCACAACAATGGCGGAGAGATAGAGCACTGGGCAAATGATGATCAGGTAGTATCCCAGCTTCATCTCTGAAGACTTGTTCCTCAGGATAGCATCTTCGTGCATGCTCTTTATCAATTCCTCTGCCATGTTGGTCACAAGGATGTTCACCGCGTATATGATGAGGACCAAAACGGACAAACACGCTGCAGACGAAAGACAGAAAAATTATATCCCAGCCACCACTTTGACATCTTCATCAGTGCTATGAAAAAACACGTGGATCTGTTTCTGATAGTTCACTCCCAGTTGCTTAGCGCTCCAGCATTTGTGTCACTTACCGCTGAGCGAGCTGCAGACGTAGACACCAACAGGCCCCATGTAGGTCTCATAAGGGTTGCTGACACTGTTGTAGAGGGAGACAAGGATGCTGCAGGCGGAGAACAGCAGACACAGGGCCAGCAGGCACAAAACCACACCGTGTAGGGCCACAAAGGTAACTCCTGTTTCTACCAGCGCAGGAAGCACTAAACACACACACAGTATGACACCTTTATGGTTATATAATCGTACCTGCATTATATACAGGCTCGTGAAACCATGTGAGCAGGCCTTATCTGTGTGAGAAGAATATTTAAACATGCTGTCCAGTTATTACAGTAATATCAACTCTAGTGATGATGTGTAGTATTTCTGTATCTTCACAGTTGTTTTGTTTTGAAGGGCCAGCTCACCCAAAATAAAATTTAAAGGTCTAGTGTGTAGGATTTATTGACATCTAGCAGTGAGGTTTTAACATTGCAACCAGCTAAAACTACAGTGTGACAAGCATGAAAATGCAAATGGCGCTGTCAGTGTTTGATTTGTCCGTTCTGGGCTACTGTAGAAACAACATGGCAGACTCTTCGAAAGAGGACCCGCTCTGTATGTAGATATCAAGGCCCCAGGAGAGCAGCTCAGCCTTGCTTCCAATTTTTCACTGTGGCCACTCGCGGTATTGCAGTGAAAAAATCTTGTGGCCAAAAAGCCCAAAATTTCCCCAGTGCAAAAGACTGTAAAACTGTTGACAGGATGCCTTGAACTGCAAACAAGGTCAATTATGACTCTTTTTATTATTAAATTTCAATCCACAGAGCTTTCATTCTCGAAAAACTTTCCTCGAGCTGAGCAATTTAAAAATCGTTGACATCATCACAATGTAAAAGTCTATGAGCCGAGCAGGAACCAGTGGGTGGGGCCAACAGGAGAAACACTACTGTGAACATACAGTATGGCAAGCCGTTTTAACATTTAATAGCTAGACTGGATATTCATTACTGATATCTGCAACATAATTTTGGCTAGTCAAAAAACTTTAAAAAAAATTTAAGATATCTGTAATTCAGTTTTGACTAGTAAGATTCAAACTACTTCATGTGTGATGTGTATGGGGTTTGTCATTATAGATATCTCCAATGTAGTTGCGGATATCTGCAACTGAATTATAGATACCTCTAATTCCAATTTGAGATATCTACAATTTAATTCTGACTAGTCATAATTCAAGTTCAAGATATCTTTAATTATCATCAGTTGAAGATATCTACATGGTCCTTTCTAGATATCTTGAATTAAGTTTCAGATAGTCAGAATGACGTAGATATCTCAAACTGGAATTAGAGATATCTACAATTCAGTTGCAGATATCCGCAATAAGAATTGCAGATATCCGCAACTACATTGGAGATATCTATAATGAGAAACCCCATACACATGAATGACAAAAGTAGTTTGAATCTTACTAGTCAAAACTGAATTACAGATATCTTAAATTAGAGTTTTGACTAGTCAGAATGACGTTATAGATATCTTCAATTAAAATGCATACTAGTCACAATGACATTACGACTAGTCAAAATGGTGTTGTTGATATCTATAATGGTAATTCCGGATAGTCAAACTTGGCGATTAAATGTTAAAATGGCTTGCCATAGGGCTGTATACTGTGAAGTAAACCCAGAAGCCTTAAACTTCTGGCTCAGGCACCATGGGTATTTAAAACAGCGCCTGTCTGTCATTTATCAAAAGTCTGAGGAAGAGCCGTGGGCTCAAAATGCCCAAATGGGATCTGCTTGGTGTGTGGACTTATTTGTTTCCTACTTTATATGCCAGGCAAACAACTCCATTGGAATGAATAGGTGCCATCTTGGCGTTTGGTATCTAGTTATTATTATGCAACTATAGTTGATATAAATGGCTCAATCTAAGCTAAAGAAAACACAACGATTCTTAGTTTCAGGTGATCATACACTAATGAAAACATAGTCAATAATGTCAATATATCCTCCTAAAACCTACTCACTGGACCTTTAAAAGAACACATTTCCTTATTAACCTCATTTACCCACGTTTAGTCAGATATCTGTCCTTGAGGCCTCTCTATGCCGAGTTTACTGTGGAAATACTTTCGACAGAAGAAATAGAACAGATTAAAAAAACAGTTGACGGTGTGTTCTTCTGATTATCTAGCGTAAACGTAACAGGGGCATGGCTTCAATTAAATTTTTCAGTGCTTTTGTTATAGGCAGGAATCTCAAAGACGGGAAGGCTGGAGAAAATACAACCCAAACTGTCAGCGTGGATATATTCTAAAGGTATGTAAGAGAGACAATATTTTGTAATGTTGGTGAACTGGCCCTTTTAGAGCCTTGGAAAGTTACCTTCGAAATCTCCTTCGCCTCCAAACGAGGGGCAGTACTGTCTGACCAAATACCCATCAAAAAGCGTCCAACTGATGTCAGCAGTTCCATTGGTGAAGTCACTTCCAATTCTTGTGCACTCCATGGTCGTCGTAGCCCACCTTCTTGACATGGCAAAGCCCATCACCCCAACAGATATGGCATTGAACTGCGCGCTAAGCATGAAATGCAGAATCTTCTTTAGGGAAGGCATTATCGCTGTATTCCAGTCGCACTAGTTAAATCTGAATCCCAGCGTCTCTTCTCTAAAGCGCTGATGAAGCCTCAGAAGCAGATTAGGACCCTCTGATCCTCTAAAGATTCTGCGTATGAGCTACCTTCCTGGGTGGAGTGAAATGTGGACTGCTGGTCGTAAATTCTCTTGATTATGGCAGTGACCTTTGGTTTGAAAGGAAAACCCAGAGCTGGTTGTCATGGTAGGGACACTAGTTTTCCCAACATGATAGCTGTGTCACGTCTGGTCCCAGACTGCAAAGGTAAATCATATGTGTTTTCTGGCTGTTCAGTGAAGGCTATGAAATATTTCTGAAGCACTAGCTCTAGTAACATTGGATACACAATTAAAACTGAACAGAGCAACTTCAGGACATGTAAATCACACATTTTTAAAAAGACACTTTTTACATGTGCACGTCCTGATGTTTAGTGTCTACACGCACCCTGTGGTGTATGTCGTGGAAACAGTGTTGTCTTGGATTCAAAGTCCTGTCCTCGAAATTGTACGGTCATAAAACACAAGGCAGATTAATTATTTACCTCCATCACTAAAACAAAGTTACTGGAAGAGGTGTGATGATTTGATCTCATGTATATGTCATCAAGCTGTGATAGGGGCTTGGTGTCAGTTCACAGAAGAGGTGCAACATTTTAACAAATTATTTACATTTAAAATTTGGTACATTAATATAAATAATGCCATAAAGAGGAAAACAAGCATGGAGAGAACACTCTGATCTGGTCTCTATAACTGTGTCACTCTACACCGTATGCCACCTGACTGGTGCCACTGATTTACGGCACAGAACAGGAAATAGTGTGCAGGAAAAGAGACAGAAAACCCAATACGCATCATCACTTAAATACACTAAAAACACCTATCACACCTTCAAACAAAGGCTCAAGTCCTGGTTTTTGGACGATCAGACGTGAACATTTCTAACTCAACACAGTAGCTCCCCCTAATGCTGCAATTGTTATTTCTGGTTTACATGCTGCTAACTTGCGTTATGTCCAGCTCTGCATGTGTATGTATGAAATATCTATTCTACTAACAGCATAGCTAACTTTCTGTGGCATGGCTTGTGTGTTAATGCATTTGACCATACATAATGACTGTTGTGTTTCTATCTCTGCATGTCTGACTGTAATACTAATCTGTGTGTTGGTGCTTCATGTCTGTTTGTGCTCACATGCTGTTTGTGGTTGTTGCGTTATTGTACTGATACTCTGCTGTTGCTTGTTGCTTTGCATGGCTTCTGTTTTATCTTGAGAATTTTGTTTGCTGTAGTTAATGTTGTCCTTATGCTGTCTTTGTCCTGTGACTTTGTTCTGTGAATTTTTTGGGGGGGTTTCAAACATCTTCCTAAAGGACTGCAGTTGAAAAAAATAATCCTAAATCTAAATCTAAATTATAACTGAAGAGGGCTGTTTACTCATGAAACATGTAAAGTGAGAACCAATTTGAAATACAGATGTGCTTCAGTTTTTTTTTTTAAACAAGAACAAACAACATTTTTATTGATAATTCATTCAGTAAGATGCACAAAGCATCAACAAACAAATAAACAAAAAAAACATACAACCCACCCACCAACCCAGAAACAAACAGAGAAAGCCAGACCAGCAAAAGAAAATAAACGACAAAAAAATTGATAAATAAATGAAAAATAATTCTAAAAAGAAATATACATAAATATAGAAAAGAAAGAAAAAGAATGTTAAAAAATAAATTAATAAAATAATTTCAAAAAATAAATAACTAATTAATTAAAAAAACAAAATAGATTAATAAAAATAAAAAATATAAATATATATAAATATATGTTTAAAAAATAAATACATTAAATAATTTCAAATAATAAAAAAATAAGACAATGAATTAATTTTTTTTTTTTTAAAAAAAGGATGAAAATTAATTGTGTGACATATGTAGAGGAGTATTACATGTTCCATTACAATTTTTCAGCTTCTATATCAGATGTGTTTCAATTTTGGGAGTCAAGTTATCGAATTGACTCGGTGCTGATTTGAAACTGTGTAGCTCTCTGTTGTTGTTGTTGTTGTTGTTGTTGTTGTTGTTGTTTAAAAAAAAGCCTTCAAATGCAAAATGATTATGGATTATAATGTAAAATTATCAAAATGTGAAAGAGGCGAGGATTATAATATAGAGTATAATGTGTTCAATTAATATTTTATTTAATTCCTGTCTTTGGTGGAGTTGATATTCTGGGTTATCCTTTGATTAATATTCGGTTACCGACTGTGAGAATATGTGAAATAATCTTTGTTCTTTCCAGATGATATAAATAAAAATGATTCATTAAAATAAATATAAATGAAATAAAATAATAAAATTAAAAATAAAAATTAAAAATTAAATGAAAATATATTAATTCATTCATATTCATACATTCAGCAGCCGATTAAAATCAGGATTATCAGTGTGTCTTTTAACCAATAATGACCCAAAGTTTATTCCAATAATAAAGACAAACAACTCTACAGGCACTCTGAGACAAACACACACATGTTGTAATAAAGTGTGTGGCCAGGCTGTGGCTCCCTTTCTTCGCCAACCTCGCTGCTCGCTGACAGCCAGTTGTGTTATGTTGGAGTAAACACAAACTCCTCCTTCCCGGTGACAGGCGGCAACACTGAAGCATCGCCTCGCCTTTTCCCAGCACAATCTGCGCTCAGGACTAAACGCCGGTGCCATCAGAGGTGAGTGATAAGATTACTCCATGTCATTTTGCATTTAGTTTGGCGCGCGGAACACGTCAAATAATCAGTCATTTTCCTTTTTTTTCCTGTCACACGAAACGCCGTGTTACCTGGCCGTTACGCACAGCAGCAGCGCGCGGCTGATATTTCGTCCATTTCAGTTGCGTGTGCGGCTCAAACGTGCCACTGAACATATCTCTTATTAAACCGGTGACGTTTGTAGCTTAAAATCATCTGTGTGCTTTCAGTTTGACAACCTGCAGCCACTTGAGCCAACCCGGTGTGTCAATGTGGGTTAATGGAACAAGCGTTTGGAGTTTCTGTTCTCCCCTCGTGGTTTGTATTTTTCCCCGTTTGCATATTCAGTTTGTCCATTGCATTCATCACAGTGAAGATTATCAATCTTTCCTTCGTGTTCGGTGGCTGGATGTTTGTGTATGTGGGCTGCAGTTGAGCCAGTTTCAACATGTCGGTGAGCAGAGGCTGTATTGGTACTTCACATATCATGGATCTGCTAAGACTTGTTACTGATGGGGGACTCCACAAGGTTTCTGAGATATGCTCTGAGATTATGACTCTTGAATGTAGTGTTGTCTGTGCGGATTTTAATTTTGAGTAGTTTGTAATATAAACATCATTGGACGTGATTAAACTCCACAGGGAAGATCTCTCCCAGGGGAGGTCAGGGGTCAGGGTCAGCAACTCATCACCCTTGGAGCAGATTGTCTCCAACAGGGTGCTGGGAGATGAACTGAGTCTGACGTTTGTCTAATCAGACCATGGAAATGAAAAGTTAAATGAACCAAGACTCCATCAAGATTGTGCTCCACTCACCATTAACAAGAGAACAGACTTTGACAGCCTATATTGCTGAAAAGACTTTAATTTAGACACCATTATGACACAGAGAACTCATCCACAGGCTCATAGTGAAACTAATTCTCCATACTTTTAATGTCTTCCTGTTTTTAGTGTTCGGACGGACCGATTCTGATAGTTAAACACTGTGTGTTGGCTGTATTTCTGGCCGCAACATAGCAAGACGTTAGACAATACACTGAGTTCATCAATGTCAGAGATGCTGCTTAATTACTTTGGATAAATCTTGTTGTCTGTCTGACGGGGGCAGGTGCTGCAGACTGAGCACAGCTGACTCTAGGAGCAACAGATGAGAAAAAGAACACAGATTTGAATGTGGAAAGTATAATTTCTGTCCTGAAAACAAGACAAATTCTAACAAGCAGCAAACAGGACTGTGAGGTCAGCCCCTCACTGTCCATATGGTACAATGATCATTGATATGCTTAACAGGTTGCTGTGACTTCCAATTTTTGCTAAACAGTGATCCATTCTGCTCCTTTACATTAAAAAGGTAACATTCTCAGAGACACCTGACTTCCCTTCAGATCAGCTCTAAAACTCTAAGCCAGGTGAGCAGAGGCCAACCTGTTAAAGGAAAACTTCAGTATTTTTCAGCTTGGACCCCATTTTCTGATGTTTTTGTGTCTAAAGCCCCGTTTCCACCAAACACTTTCAGTATGGTACCTTTGGAACCAACAGTAACCCTTCAGACATGGTACCTAGACCCTAGTGTTTCCACTGCAAACAGTACTCTTAAATGTGGGCGGGTTGTTGTCACTCACTGCTCCGTCCAGCACTCACTGTATTTCCTCATTACTGGTGACACAGATGGAAGTCTGCACCTCGTTTATCGTCCACAGAACGAGGCTGCACGCCGACATTTTCAGAACAAAATAAAACAGGCTGCAGTGAGAGTCTCTCTCCATGGGATATTTAAAAGTAGCGGGTTTGTGCGTTTAGTCCTTCTCAGGCAAGCTCAGGGGTTTAGTGTTGCTGGAGCCCACAGGAACTACGCTCCACTACGCTTTTTTTTTTTTTCTCAGAGTGAGGATTAGAATATATGCAGTTCACATAACCCGGCCAAAATTAATATATAAACACTTGAGGATCCACTCATTACTAAAAGTGTATGTCGTATAAAAACTAAAGTGATGGTCAAAGTTGTCACAGTGAAATTTAAGGTGTGTTGATGGATTCACGTCGTCACCTCATGCACTGAGTGACATTACCTAGTTATCGTTCCACCTTAAAAGTCACCAGCAGTCGGCCCAGTGAATTAAGTTATTTTGTTCTCAGACTCCAGCTGCTGTGAGAGGCAGCAAAACATCCTTTCATTTTATAGTTACAGTTTACTAATAAAACTCTCCACAGTATGAACAGTGGTTACATGAGCCTCAAAACCAGCCACAACTCAGCCCTGAGCAGAGTGACCGTCCTCTACTGACCAATCAACAGACTGCAGTGTTCACAGCTCCACCTTTTAGTACCAGATCTGTGTGCTAGGTACCCCAACAGAGGGGGGACCAAAA